GAAGTTTCAGAATGAGATTTTCTCGGCAACACCAGTTCTGCGTTGGAATTCACGGCACATGCATTGTTGCAGTTTAGTAACTGTATAGGGTATAGTTATAAAGTCGAACCGGAAACACATATTAGATTGTATGAAATGACGTGCAGTATGTGTCGGAAAGCCATCCTCCCCACCTATTTTATTCCCAACCGTTCACTTTTATCCGCACTTATACTATGCTCCTGTTTTGCCTATTTCTGGGCATACAATCTTATGGGATTATGAATATATCCCCTGTTTGTGTATTTCAGTTTATCCTTTCATTCACACTTCACTTCTTTTTTTCCTATATCAGTGTGTTCTCCACCCTAAATAGCTTTTTAACGTTTCACCTGTCTCTGCTCACCCCACACAAGTAGTAGATGCACGTTTTAACTGGCCTGCTATTGTTCCCTCGCATCCGTGTAACTTGCGTGTACTTCCATCTCACAGACTCGTCAATGCACTGTTTTGTCTCTTACGGCTTGTGATTCTGTCGTAACTCTTTCGTTTATTCCTAACAGGCTACCATCGGATTGCACATCAAAAACGCATTCATACACTTCATGGCTCAACTTTTAAAGGATTATCGACGTTTTCTGATCCCCGTACGGCAAGCGGAACGTGATGTATTGTTCAATGCGCCAGGTAAAATAGGTTCTCGTGTTCCTCCTATTCTTATGAACCGATGTTTTTGCTTTTCGGTTGGAGCTTTACGAATGATTGACTACTCTACTAGTGTAGTGAACGTATGCCACACGACATAGATCAGTATTCTCAGCTCGACCGAAAGTTTTTTTACAGATTGGTCAGATCCCAAACATTTGTGTCAGCGTTGTGATTTTTATGCATCTGCTATCTGACCTCATTCCAATTAGTTGTTTCGTCCCAGTTGATCACAGTATTCAGATTGTCTATATATTCGTAAACACAGATGATTCATGGGTTTGGGGAATCCAAAAATGATATCAACCTTATGTTTACCAATAACCGTCCTAATCTGCAACGCACTGTCTTTCAGTATGTTCAAAACCAGTTCAGTTCAGTTCAGGTCTCCTATTC